TATAACATGTAGCATGATTTGGTGTTTAAGATATGTGGAAATACACATTAGGAAGATGAATTTCTTCATCTTTAATCTATTATTCACACCATATTTCAGCTAAACAGAAGGTCAGAGAAGTTAAAAGTTTGTAGGCGATACTGGTGGTTGCTTAGACATTTAAATATCGTTAAGTCACATTCACAATTTACAGTCGGTTCACAATCCCTAATTTAATAAATGTATACTGCACTGATGAAATTGTTAACTCTGCACACAAGAAACCTTCTTACTGTGTTCTAAAGTATTGGTGAGAAACCTTGAACAAACGGTGAGAACGTGGGACAGCTATCAAACTGCAACCAGGAAGAGTTTTATCACTCGGTGGTTGTTGTAACAGAGGAGTGATAAAGATAAGGCTGGCATAAAAGAGAAACGTTAAAAAAAAAACACTTGACACAGTGATCTAATCAAAATAAGCAAATTATAATGAAAAAAACAGTAATCATTTACTCATGCTGTACCTCATAAAACTGCATTAAATTTGTATAACTATGAAGCAAAACCAGAAATAATCTGTACCGACTTGTTGACATATGCATATCCTTAACTTCTTTAATGACTCAATGACTGCGTGGGTAGGATCACTCTCAAACAATTCACAGCTTATACTCCTTCAAGTTCAAGTTGCCTTTGCTTGAGTAAGAAAATAAAAAAAGACTAATGTGTAAGGGTCATCTACAATGAAAATGCTGAGAGAGAAAAGAGACAATATACAGGATGTCTTGTTCAAGACCACCCCCTCCCTGGGAAGAAGTCCTGCGTGCTGGCTCATCTCAACTCAGCAGTTTATTTATAACTCACGGGAACATCTTCTCATGCAAACCACACACACCTGTGCCGAAATGCAGAACTACCTTCCAGCGTGACTTACCAGCTGGGTACATGTGCAACAACACTGCACTGCCTGGCTCACTGGCACTGGAAAACACATGGACACAAACTAAAGCTAGCAACGCTGAGAGCATGAGTAGGGGCGGAAACTATTTCAAAGAGATAAACTTGCTAGACCATGAACATGAAAGCTGAGTGAGTGGGGTGGGACGGTTTGGGAGGGGGTCCTGAGAAAAGGAGTTGAGACAAATAGTGGGGAAAGAATTTGGTTTTCTCAGCTGGGACAGCAGTAGGGCGAGGTGCGTTATGGGGGGATAGAAGGAAATTGGAGGGGGGGAGGGGGGTTCAGAGCCAAGATGGGTGACCTGGGCCTTTGTTGGCAGATGGTGGCAAGCACCACCTTGGCCTCTCCCTCTGAATGCTAAGCAGCAGAGCTTTTGTCTGGCAAGTGCAGCAGCAGACGCATGCGCCGGGGGTTTCTCTGACAACCAGGAGCCAACACGATCTGTGCACACACACATACGCACGTGCACACGCCTCACCACGCCACTCTAAACCCATACATACAAGATCTACACATACATTCTCCAAGCAGGAATTCCCATAGAGCAGGAGCCCTGAGCAGACGGTGTACCACGCCCCCACACTTCTGCCCTCAGAGGCCGAGAGAGACAGAGAGAGGGCGGAGAAGCTGCAACACTCAGGACCTCATTTTCTACACACACGTAAATTCAATTTAGTTCACACTGGTGATGTAGTCAATAAGTCCGAGTCCCAGGATAAAAGTGTGGATCATGCAATTTAATAAAATGTCCCAGCCACAAACAGGAGTAGTTTAATTTTATAGCAATTATATTGATTCAGTTTGTTTTCAAAGTTAACTCTAGGTAAATGGACTGTACTTATACAGCGCCTTTCTATCTTAATCAAGATACTCCATTCGCTTTACACCACAAACTGTGTCCTCATTTACCCGTTCATACAGCTCTATACTAGATCTCTACAAAGCTAACTGAACAAATCATTCTATAGAGAATAATCAGAGCTTTATCACATTCATACACCGATGGGACACATCGGAGGCTATGGGGGGTTCAGTGTCTTAAGGGACACTTCGACATGTGACTGCTCGTGGATTCGAACCCTCAACTCTGGCATTGGAGGACGACTGCTCTAACCGCTCAGCCACAGCCGCCCAGTGCAGAGATAGTTAGTGTAATCCAAGTGTTCACTGTACTTTTATTACACAAATTTTACATTTACTAAAAATAAATACACCTCCACATAATGTACTTGAGAAAGAAAAGTAGTACACAGTATTTATAAATGTGCCTAACTTCTCTCCTAGTGATATCAACTGGCCAATTAAATGATTTTTTTATCCCACAATATTTGAAAATGAAGACGTTCAATGTGACTGATGTGGGTTTTTGAACATGTTCTGAAATTTATTCAGACAACATTTAACTCGGAGCAAGTGAAATGCAGGATGAGCGAGAACAAATCTACCTTAGCAAAGAAAGAACATGCCAACATAAATTAAATAAATGTTTAAGGTCAGCACTTCTGTGTCTCGTTTGTTATTACATTGCTCTTATTCTCTGGGAGACAACAAATCTACTACTCGAAGTCTATTTTGTTAACACAAATACAGCTAATATTGTTGTTGCCATGTGATTCCATGGCAACAACTTAATGCATTGAGGCAACTTGCTAAAGTTCAAACCAAGCATCAGAATGGGGAACAAAGATCTGACTGAATGTGGTGCGGTTGTTGGTGTCAAACCTGCTACAGACCGAGTGTTTCTGAAATTTCTGATGCACTGAGATTTTCATGCACAACCATCTCTGGGGTTAACAGAGATTTATAAGAGCAGACGTTTTTACATTATTTCTGTTGTCCAGTTTTGGTGAGCCTGTGTGAATAGTAGCAACAGTTTTCTGTTCTTTGCTAACAGTGGCATTCAGTGTAGTCTTCTGCTGCTGTAGCCCATCAGCTTGAAGGGATAACATTTAGGAATGCCGTTTTATCATCTCAACCAGTCTACGCATTTTTCTCTGAAATCATCTAGACATTTTTGTTCACTGAAGTGCCACTCGCTGGTTTTCTCTTTTTCAGGCCCATCTCTTTAAGCACTCGAGATGGTTGTGCGTTAAAATTTCTGTAATGCACAGATCACCCTATGTTGCACTAAGTCCTTCAAAGTCACTTGAATTCCCGTTTCTGCCCCAATCTGTTGCCCAGTTTGAACTTCAGAATCTTGTCTTCACCAACTCTAGTGCCTAGATGATGAAGTAACTGGTTACGTATTGTATCCAGTGTTTCCCGTAGTTAACTTGCCACGGCGGGGTGCTCTTCTCAGCCATGATTTTTGTTGATGGGAGAGACGGAGATATGTCTGAGTGCAGCTTGTACAACAGTTTTTGAGCAGGGGCAGGGGGGGTCAGCATGAGGGAAGAGGAACCTTTAGCTTTTTAGCTAGAACGCATGTATTGCGCGCCGCTAGCTTGGTGCTACGTCAGTGTCGGGGAAGGGGGCGTTCAGTTTGGTAGGCGAGGTGCTCAGTTCTGTTGACGGTGTGGGGCACCCCGCTTGTATAACGGTAGGGGAAAAACATGGGAGATGTTGGACAGATGTTCTTGGCAATGTCTACAAAGAATTTCAGCTTTTATTAAAGATAAATAGTGAAGCCTACTGCCAAAAAAAGGGTTTATGAAGTAACCAGGTGTTTTACATGACTGCTTGCTGTATTCAACATTGCCGTCACAACAGCAATAAATTACTTAATTGAAAGGGTTAAAAGGCATCATAGACCCTCCAAAGTCCTACAAAAGAGCCTTAACGTTTAAGTTCCATTTCTAAACACTAATGTTCCTTAAACAAAAAGAAAAACATTAAGCATAATCAGTAGTGCAAAGCTCCTAGCATACGAGTGAAAGTAGTTCAGGAAATTTTAATTTTAATTTCAAAAACTGAGTCAAGAGAAAACTTGGTACGACAGACGATGCATGAATTTACTACTTTTTCCTCAGACAACTGGAAAGCATCATCTGTGAGCAGGAGAGCATTTTGTGGTGCTGTTGTACAGTACTACACATGTCGGAAACACAGGGCGGTTGTGATGCAGGAAATCAGGTTAAGACATCAAAACCCAAAGATAAGCCACACCAGAAGCTGTCAGATCACAACACACATCTTTCCGTCCCTAAGAGATCAACCCAATTGTCTCGCTCTCTCACACACACACTTGATGTCATGCTGTAAATAAAACAGGAGGCAGCTGCAGTGACTTCACTCCTCCAAAAGTAGGATTGGGTAATGTTAGGCCATCACTGCGTTCAATCAAAAGTAAAAAGGAATATTCTGAGGCGGTGACGACACAAGCCCATGACAATAAACTGGTGTAATAAGCTGCATTTGCTGACAGCTTTCCCAGGAGTGCAAATGAAACAGTGTTTGTTGAGAATGCTAAAAAAAAGTCACAGCTCTGAAGATGTTTCCACAAACCGTGGGTACAGCCACAGTCTCACTTCACGACTCCTTCATATGTCAAAAGGTTTGATAGGCCTACTAGCCTGTTTTAGCTCGGTTACATTATATAGCCACGGCTCAGGACGTTGAAATGGAAGACGCCCTTCAGCTCGACCGTGCATTCACTGACCTGGACACTTTCTAACCACAGGGGGCCGTCTTTGCTTCAGCCTCAACGGCGCTTTAACTCGGCTAAAGCATCTTTGCTAGTCAACAATCGGCGCCGAACAAAGCCGGTAACCGGTGGAAAGCGAGCTAGCTTACCAGTTACTGAGCTTAACTGTAGCAAATTGTGTTTAACGTCTCGTCACACCCTGCTGCCACAGTTAGGAGATGGATACAGAGAATAACGAATGGAACTAAACGCTGTTCAGTCGCGTCAAACGCCCCAAATCAATTAGCTTAGGCAACCGGCTTGATTAGCTGACGTTAGCATACTTAGCTCCCCTCCCAGCTGCCTCCAAACCAAACCGTCGTCCCCTTATGCACGTTTTCCACTTACCGCTAATAAAACTGCGCGCTAATTTAATGTCAGGAGGGCAAACGGAATGCAGGAGTTTCACACATTTAGTATGTTACCCAGGTGAAAGGATACGGCGGCGGTAGGGCGCCAGGCTGAGGAGCGGTTGGGGCTCCCGGCGGCAGAGACACGGAGGCCAGGGTAGCCCGCAGTTGGCTTGACGGAGAGGGGCCACTTCCAGGTCCGCTAACTGCGACAGCTGCGGGCTTGGGGACCACTTTCGATGGCAAACTCATCGCACAAAAATCAAAAAATAAAAACAATACCTTAATAAATACTGGTACAAACGAAGCCTAGCTTGCACTCATCTAGAGCAAACGTTGCAGATCCTTAAGCAGGCCCCAAGTCTCGTTAACGAACTGGGATAACGAAGCTCGAAAAGCAACAAAAATGTCTCTTTTTTTTTCATGGGAAGTCGCTGTTCGGATCAGCGGTGCTATTCATGGGGACGGTGGGGAGGTTTTTAGCCTCCCTTGCCCGTCCGGAACCTAAGCGGGTCCGGCTCGGTTCGTTACTTTCAAATGAAGTAATCACCGCGATCTTCAACCTCCCTTGGCGATTTATCTTTTCTTCTCGGCAAATGCGTTTTCTATCATTTTTTTCCTCACAGAGATGAGAGACTTCGCCAACATGGCGTTGCGGCCGCTTCCAGCAGTCCGGGCAGGACAGATGATTCGGCAATTCTCGGCCAGTTTCGGAATCGCTCGGCTCAACGGCAAACCTCAAATCAACCACTGCGTGCCTTACGTCCCCAAAACGTGCGCAGCATATCACCCCCCCCCCCCCTTTTTTTTTGTTCCCATTATATTTTTCGTCTTTACGTTTTTAACGTAGTTAAATACATTTAAGTCCGCAATGTAGCAGCGTGTAGTATAAAACTGAAACTGTTTAATTAATGGAAAAAATACAAATGTATGAAGTGAGATTTATGCTTGTTTCTGGTAACATTTGTACGGTCTAAAATAAATCATAAGGTGCAGCTCAGCGGCAACGCTACCTCACAATAAGTGTGTTATTAGCGACATCTACCGGTCAGGAGGCGGAATCGCAGCTTCATGAAAGCAAATACAGCAACGTTATCCTGATGCATTCTCAATAATCCAGGTAGAAAAACCTAAAAAAGTTAAGTCTGGTCCTCTGGACGTTCAAAAAAAAAAAAAAAAAAAAGTAATGTTAGTTTGCGTGACTGTCAGCAAAATATATCATGAAGTTTTAATGAAATATTGTACCCAGAAAGCAATCAGTGGATGTGAATATACAACAGATGGACTTTTAGAATCAACTCAATTCAAGTTGTTTGCTGCAGTTAATCAAGTTTAGCCAACAGAAACATTCCTGTTTCTCCATTTCACAGCTAATCGAGCTGTTTTTTGTGTGGTAGTACCTGAGGGTCATCCACAATACATATTCTGAGTGCTAACACATCTATCAAACGCTCACAAAACAGAATGAAATTGCGTAAAAAATTCATTTTGGGGGGGGGGGGGGGGGGGGGCGGGGCACGGTGCCACAGTCGGTAGAGCTGTTGCCTCTCAATGAGAAGGTCGTTGGGTCAAATCCTGGCCGGGGACCCCCCTGGGTGGAGTCTGCATGCTCCCCACGTGCACGTGTGGGCCCTCTCCTCTCTCTAGACCAAAAAAACGTGGCTAATTGGTAGCTCAATTGTTGTGAATGGTTGTCTCATTTATGTCTATGTGTCCCTGTGATGGACTGGAGACCTGTCCAGGGTGTCCCCCGCCTCTCACAGTGATGGCTGGCACCAGTGACCCCCGCGACCCTAAAAAGAAGAAGCGGGTAAAGATAATGGAGAGATGTCATTAAAGGTTTGACCAAAATGGCTACACCTTCGTTCCTTCTCATCATGAAAAAATTGTAGTTTTGAAATCTGGCATGAAAATAAAATATGAGACAAAGCTGAATAAAGTGCACAACTGAAACAATATGTTATAAGACTGAGTTTACTTTACAAAATATCTTTGGCATTATTTACATGTAAAACAAGAAACATCATCATGACTTAGAAACTGTTTATGCTCTGTATGACACGGTTTACAGATAATGTTGTACAAATATTTTTGAAATTTTGCTGTGCCTAAAAAAACATAGCTGTAGATTTAAAACAAATTGTACAACTTTATTTAAAAAAAAAAAATCATCTATGTTATAAATCTTGGGAGTTCCCATGGTTTACAGCGTTTATAAAAAATATAACTATAAATACAATATAATAAACCAGAGTTGATCCAAGAACAGCAAAAGTGACACATACATCCACAAACATAAAATAACATATATTTTTTTGCTTGTTATATGATGAGCAAGCAGGTTGCAACATTTAAGTGGTTCCTCTAGCTTTGTAACTATACAGTGGGCTTACAGTGTAGAAAAAAAAAACATTTAGAGCTACGTTTAGGCTAAACAAAGCTGTTTCATAAAACCAACAGTGCAGTGCTTACAAACCAGGCATATTTTGTCCTGATAAGGAAACTGATGAAGCAGCAAGGCATCGAGGGCCGGCAGTGGTATTTTACTCAGTGTCCATTTTGCTTCTTCATTGCTCAACAGCCTCACCAAAGCTCACATTTATGTTCAGGGTTCATAGGAGCATTTGCTTTGCAGCCAAAGTGCTTAGAGAATTCACGTGAATTGGAAATTGAGCCAATGACTCTATATTTTGATGGACTGTGAGGATCTGTGATTATTCCCTCGTGTGAGCTCTCGGGTGTTCTGACGGCACACCATACCTGCAAGAGCAACAAAACCAAGAAAGAAAGTTGTGATCTCTTCAAAACAAACGTAGACCTAAAAAGAAAAATATTCAACTTATGAATTAATTCATCACTCGTGAATTAAATTTATTTTTTTTATCAAGGATATCACCTATCAAGATAAATAAAACTGCAGAAATGTGCATTTTCTGCAAGAGTGCAAAGTCAATGCTAAGTGTTGAGTGATTGATGAATCGTTTTGAAGAAGCTGAAATTAAATCGTCAAAGTAAAAACGTGCAGTGCATGAGCTAAAATGAGCAAAAATGTAGCTAAAAGCTAATATAGGTGCAGCAAAGCAGCAGCCAAGCTTAAAGGTAAGGTGTAAATCATAACCCCAGGTGGGTTGCAAAGAGATGTGCATGGCCAACAATGCAGCTTTGCAAACCATGCACACAATAACAGGTGTGACCTTCAAAACTTGGCCGCTCAAAATGCAGCTCAGTGGTCACCTGGTTGTGAACCCTCAGAACACAGAGACCACATTAAAAATCATATTTTCCTGCAAATTTCCCCGTTTAGAGTCACCAACTAATCTAACAACAGTCACGTCCAGGTGAGATACCACCTTAACGATAAACAAGTCATTTAGTTGGTAGATTAGGGTTAATGTTCAGAAGCGTTCGTCTTTTTCTGCTTGTTTTTGTCAAATACTTGGTCTGTTTAAACGCTTCCGTAGACGTAATGACTGTCCTAAGGCGGTACTTGGAGAGTTTTTTTCTTTTTGTTCAAAGCTCAGAGGTGAGCTTTATGGCATGTTTTAGAGACTTAAGACGCATTTAGTTCATCAAATCAAATCAAATCAAATGATATTCTGTAAAAGACACAAACCTGAGCAAACCCAACAAAGAACAGCTGATGGTTCGTCAGCCCCAGAGCGGGCAGCGGCGCTTCCTCCTCGTTCTTTTTGATCCAGTTGTCATAAGCCTTCAAAAAGCAACAGACGATCGTGTTACACGTGTGCAAGCCTTGTTCTCCCTCCGCACAGAAAAATCCATGAAAACAGACCGAAGTGAACGAAGAGCCACTTTTAATTTGTGCTATTTGCTTTGCTCACTTTAACGTTCATAGCAGTTCCTCATCAGCTTTGCAGCTTCTGACCTTTCATTAAGTGGAAAGAATGTGTGCATGTGAGGAAGTAACCAGAGGCTGCACATAAACCACCTGTTGGAGCTCCAGGCTTCACTGAAAACTAGACAAGCTACTTTTTCCAACACAACTTCATGAAGATGGCCGACCGCAGCTCAAACGCACTAACACTGAGGGGTGATGTTCTCGTTTTGTGACAGATCTATGACCTTATGAGCAGGAAATTCAACATATTAAATATATATATATATATATAAACAAGCTTACGTTTGTCATAATATTTCTGTGTTCTAGTAACGGCGCTGCTTATCTTGTAGTCACAGAATGTAAAAAATACTCAAACAGGTTTATTATCATGTGTTTTGACATCAGACCTTGTAAGCAGCTTTTAGTCCACCGTTGTCAGCTATGTTCTCTCCCAGCGTGTGTCTTCCATTCAAAGGCTCTTTGTTGATGCTGTAATTTCCGTACTGCTCCACCATGCACTGCGTCTGCCTCTTGAAGGCCTCCACGGAGGAGTTCTTCCACCAAGGGCGCAAGTTCCCATCCTTGTCATACTCCCTCCCTGTGAAAGAAGGTTTTAATAGGGTCCAGTTTTCTGACAAATGCTTTAATTAATTGAAAGAGTTTTAAAAAGCACAAAGATGTTATATTTTTTGTCATTTACTAACCTTGGTCATCAAAAGCATGAGTCAGTTCATGACCCATGACCACTCCAATCCCACCAAAGTTAAGAGCTCTGTCAAAGCAAGTGCAAGTGTACAGTCAGATAAAGTTTTCACTCAGGTTAAAGCCTAAATGCAGTGTTTGTATAATATTGTGATTAGGCAAAATCAAGGCATTGAGTGATAAAAATAAAAAAAAAATCAAGATAATTGTACTTGTTAAGAGTTTGCAACTATGCATTGTAAAAAGATGAAGATGTAAGATGTTCAGGCGGTCAGGGGTCTGCAACCTGCGGCTCTGGGGCCACATGTAGCTCTTTGGTCCCTCATCGATGCCTCTTTGAAACTTTGACCAAAACTTAATGACATTTAACTGTATTGATTTTTATTCCCACAACAGAAAAGACTAGTTTTGGCAGTTTTATTGTAAATTTTTTGTAAAGTTTTACCCAGTAACTACTAGTAAGATAAGAACTTTTCTGACCCTGCAGGAAACTGTTGAAGTAGTAAGTTTCTTTTGGCTGCTCCCTTCTTCGAGGGTCACCACTTGCAAGAAAGATTTGGCAATTTGTTTTACGCTGAATGCCCTTCCTGACGCAATCTGGGCTTGAATCGTCAACCTTACGATTACAAGATAGCAGCACTGGCCACCAATTAACCGCAGCCCCGCCCGATACTTATTTAATATTCTTCATATAGGCCTGCAGATTTATGGGGTGCCATTTGTAAAGTTACACAGTCAAAAGTTAACAGCAATGTTTTGGCTTATTTAACTTTAATAAGAAAAAAAAAAGGTTTTTATTTTTCTTTCCAAAGTCATATTTTCACCATGTTATTCATACGTTTATAAATGTCATTGTTCCAAACTAAATATTTAATTTACAAGCTAAATATTTAATTTACTAACTAAATATTTAGCTTGCAAGATAAATATTTAGTTAGTACACTAAATTAAATACACAATTTCCAAGCTAAACATTTCAATATTTAATTTGCTAAGTTAATATTTAACTTGCAAGTTAACTATTTTGCTTGCAACTTAAAGATTTAGGTGAGAGTTAAATATTTAGTAAGCAAATTAAATGTTTATTTTGGAAATTAAATGTTTAGCTTAGAAATTAAATGTTTAGTTTGGAAATTAAATATTTAGCTTTGGCAATAAATATTTAAATTGGAAATTTAATGTTTAGTTTTGAAAATAAATATTTATCTTGGAAATTAAATATTTGATTTATATTTAACTTGCACGTTAAGTATTTACTTTGTAAACTAAATATTTAGCTTGGAAATTAAATATTTGATTTATATTTAACTTGCACTAAATATTTGTAAACTAAATATTTAGCTTGTAAATTAATTTTTTAGTTTGGAACTATAAAATTTATAAAAGTTTGAATAGCATGGTGAAAATAAGACTGAAAAAAATAAATAAATAAAAAGCTAAATAAACCAAAAATATTTATGTTAATTTTTGACTGTGTAACTTTACAAACGGCACCCCATACAGAGTCCAGTGTTTTCATTTTTATCATAATCTGTACAAACTATAATTAGTTTCCTTCTTTAAATGATATAGTCTTTTGTTTTTTTTACATGTAAAAATATCAATGAATGTTAAAAATCGTATAATTTTAGTTTTATAACGTCACCCCCACAGGCCAGAAAAGCCCCCCCTCCAACAAACTCAGTGGCCCATGGGCCATCAGTTGATAATCACAGTTGTAGCAGGTTTTGTGGCTCCAGACAAATTTCATTTAGTGAGCGAAGGGGCAGAAATGGCTCTTTTGATCAAAAAAGTTGCAGACCGCTGGTTTAAGCAAATGCTCAGTCTTAAAATGACCAGTCCAAGTCAGCCATAAAGTTTAATCTGCACACCACCCAATTCTCTTGTGCCAATTAATATAGATAATATAGTTGTAGCTCACTGCAGTCAAGTAAAGATTGTATCAAAAATGCAACAAGAATCAGAGTATCACATGAGAAATTAATACTTTGGATAAGAACGACTGTAGAACGGAGCTTGAAGGATTCCTGCTGGCAGAACCATCTCGTTCTTGGTTGGGTTGTAATAGGCATTTACAGTTGGAGGGGTCATGCTCCACCTGCAAAATAACAAACACAAAGAGCCTTGTTCGCACATTGCATTAAAATCAGCCCTTAGGTATCGAATTGCATCCTGATAGTGAACAGCTTCAGCAGCCACAGAAAATGTTTTCACTTTAGGAGACTGCACATATGTCTGATAGTCTGAGCACGATCTGTCCTGAGCACAAAAACCCATGCTCGATAATCCAGGTATGAAATCCAAACATTTTCAGTCAGAAAAAAAAAGAAACTGTCCAGATGACCTGACTGAAAACTGTTGAATTTGTCCTGAGGTTTACTCCTACTGAACTGACGCAAGCAGCACAGTTACTACCTGGATGTCTCGAAGTAAAAAAAAACAAAGGATTAAATATATAATAAAATAGCCAACCTTGGGAATATTCCAAATATTTATTTGAGCTTAAGGTCTTAATAAACTCTATTAAAATTCTTCTCGGTAAAAATGTCTAAATCTTTTCAGGATTTTATTCATCGGAGCAGATTTCCAGGACACAACGTGGTCCTTAGGTTGTGATTTCTGATTGGACCCGCTGTGGTCACGTAATTACAACATGCAGAATAACAATGTGAACATTGTTGCACTTTACCATTCACATAATTAAACACCCTGCTGACATTACACTCACAGTAACGCTGCGAAGGAAACTGCTCGTTAAGAATTGTGCACTAAAATCTCCACAAATGTGTTTCTCAAATGGTTCTGAGCTGTGTCAGTGTAAAAAAAAAAAAAAGTCCAGATCTCTGAATTTATTGTAGTTTTCACAGAAACGTCAACATCTGATTATAGAAAACGCTTCAGGGTACACATTTACTGCCAGGTGTTAACGCGCGCAACGACATGAAGTCAAATCACTCAAGATTATTACCGTAGTCCAAAGTTTGAATAGGGATAAAGCCACAATCCAATGCTGGCATCAAGGTGACAACAAAGTGAGAGTATTCATTTTACCTGCTAATCTAACCACTCCTTCACATCCCGACTAGAGACGCGGACCAGTTCAGCGGAGGGAAGGTGGCTGCCTCGGCACGTTTGTGGATAGCAGCAGTGTTTTTGCTGAGTCGGTAAAATGGGAACGCGTTCCCATCCGAGTGTGAAGCCTTCTCTACAGGAAGAGGAGCAGCAGGGAGGAAACTCACTGGTTTCTGTTGGGAGATTTCCTCAGCTGGTCTGCAGTCACTCGAGCTGAAAAGTTGTAGTACTGCATGACGTTCTGGAAGTAAAGGTCCGACACCACCTCAAACTAAAAGAGAGCAATCCAAAGAAATGGAAAATGAATTTCACATCTTTAATGAATTAAATGGGTATATGTGATAAATAAATAAAATATATAATACTGAATACAGCCCAACATTTACCTACATCATTGAACACTTTGTCCAGCTTTGTGACATTCATGATGAACTCTGGATATCCAACCATGTTGTAAATGGCATCCGCCTGTAAAAAAAAAATGACAGTTAAAAACTGCAAACTACGTATTTTCACACCAGGTGGCAGTGTTCGCTTTCCACGCCACTTTAGGCAAGTCAAATTTATTTATAAAGCACATTTAAAACAGCAGCTGTTACCAAAGTGCTGAACAAAAAGATCCAGGCCGTAATTAAAGAAGGAAAAAAGATAAGATGTAATTAAAAGAGTCAAAACAACGAGAAACAATGAAATACAAAATCGAATCGCACCGTGTTGAACATCGGTGAATACAGGTGTGTTTTCAGGAGAGATTTAAAAGCAGGGACTCAGGTGGAGTAATGTTGATGGGCAGATTGTTCCAGAGTTTAGGGCCCACAACTGAAAAAGCCTGATCTCCTCTGAGCTTCAGCCTGGTTTGTGGTACAACCAAACGCAGATGATCAGGTGATCTCAAAGGAACATATGGTTGAAGTAGGTCAGAGAGGTATGAGGGTGCAAGGTCAACAATGCACTTAAAGGTCAACAGGATCATTTTAAAATCAGTTCTGACACAGGGAGCCAGCGAAGGGAGGACAAAACTGGTGAAATGTGATCAAACCTACGAGTTCCTGTTAATGGACGAGTTGGAGACTTGAAAAAGAGATGACCCCAGTAGCCCAGCTGGGTTGTAACAAACGCACGGACTAGTTTTTCAAGGTCAGATCTGGTCAACACAGATTTAAGCTCAGCTATCTGCCTTATATCATATAATGTGAACAGATTCTTCTGGGAAGAAACGCTTCGCCTTTCATCTGAAAGACTTTGTCAGTCTGAGGCCTGCCACCAACATCTGTGGTATAAATAGCACCTTACTGGTGTTTCAAGCCAGCCTGCTGTCATTCCCAGAAACTGGGTTTACACATGTCAAAAGGGACATCCGTCTAAAACAAGCGATAATCGGAGCATAACAATCAACTGGTCTAGGCCTGATAAGCGACTTGCTACTCACCGAACCAGCCCGAGGACAACCTGGCCAAAACGGTTCAGACAAAAGGTCGCTTTTTATACGACAGATTTTGGTGGCAGGCCTCAGACTGACGAAGTCTTCTGGATGAAAGATGAAATGCTTATTCCAAGACGAATCAGTCCAGATTACATGATTTCACTTTTTTTGTGATTTATTCACCTGGATGCTTACAAACCGTTTTTGTTTTTTCCCTCTGGGACAAACTACTGAGTATTCTTTTCTCACCTTTTCTTTTGCAGCTTTTTTGGTTTCTGGATCCATCCACTTCACATATTTCAAGCTGTCTTCAAAGGCCCCTTTAATTTCTGCAACCATCTCTTCAGCCTGAACCACAACAAGAGCCACGTTCAATCAGCACCGTGTCCCAAAGCTTCAGGAGCTGTTGTGTAGACACTTACAATGGTTTTGCTGTCCTCAGCAAAGGTGTCTTTGACAAACATGGCTCCGAGAGCAAACCCCAGGGCGCTGTCCGTGTCACTGACACAGAGCTTCCAGCGTGGAGTGCAGCTCTGCAGAAACACCACAAGACACGCTCAGCAAAAAGGTGTTTTCAAAAACTTCCTGTTAATTGCACGTTTTTGTGAGTTAGAAGTTTCTTCATGCAAATTAATCGGTTTCAAGAGGGCACGTCACAATTTGTAGAAGTGACTGAAGAAGTGAGAGTAACTATGATTAAAGAGACGTGTCTGGACTCCGCTTTATGTGCAGAGAACAAACTGCAGCCACGTGAAAACTTGCATTTCTAATAAATGTTTTGTTCTAGTAATAAACTGTGACTACAATTCTCTCAAACCAATGAAGGGTAATAAAGTGAAGAACTTAACAAGATACAGATTGATGCAAAACTAACAAGAGAAATTTCCTGCGAAAATGCACGTGTGAATGCCTTTTGCTCAATAATTATCTTAAAACAGCTGACTAGTAGCTAAAGAAGCATAAAAAAGCTTAAATTAGCAGAAAGAAGTAGGTAGAGCAGGCAGCACGGTGGCGCAACTGGTAGAGCTGCTGCCTTTCAGCGAACAGGTCCCTGGTTCAAACCCCGGTCCAGGTGCCTTCTGGGTGGAGTTTGCATGTTCTCTCCGTGCATGCGTGGGTTTTCTCCGGGTACTCCAGTTTCCTCCCACAGACCAAAAACATGCATGTTAGGCTGATTGGTAACTCTAAATTGTCCCTAGGTGTGAGTGAGAGAGTAAATGGTTGTTTGTCTTGTTTGTCTCTATGTGTCCCTGTGATGGACTTGCGACCCGTCCAGGGTGTACCCCGCCCCTCGCACAGTGATTGCTGGACATGGGCACCAGCGACCCCCGTGACCCAAAATGGAATAAACGGGTAAAGATAATGGATGGATGGAAGTGGGTAGAGCATGATTTTGCTGAATTAGGTTGAAAAAAATTGGGATTGATTAAAAAAAAAGTGGAAGTAGCTGAAAAAGCTGAAATTAGCATAAAACAGCTAAATAGTAGCTGAAAAAAACAAAAAGCTGAAATTAGCAGAAACAAGCACAAAGGAGCACAATCCAATATATTTAAAACAATTTGAAATTTCAAAAATCTGAAATAAGCAGAAATAAGCACAATAAAGTTGAAATTATCTGAAAAGACTGAAATTGGACAAAAACATCTGAATAGTAGCTAAACCATGCAAAAATAAGCTTAAATTACCAGAAGGAAGTGGGTAGAGAATGATTTTGCTGAATTGGGCTGAAAAAAGTTGGACTGATTTAAAAAAATGTGGAATTAGCTGAAAAAGCTGAAATTAGCATAAAACAGCTAAATAGTAGCTGAAATAGCAGAAATATCTGAATCTTACAAAAATTAGCCGAAAGGAGCATAACAAGCTGAAATTAGCAGAAATAAGTTAGAAGAAGTACAAGAATGTTGAAGTAAGCTGAATAAAACAGAAAAGAACACAAAACAGCTGAAAAAACGGCTGAAATTAGCTGAACTAGCTGCATTTTTTTATTTCTTTCAAAGTCTATTTGGGATTGTTATGCCAAGTTTCAGCTGAATAGCTCTAAAAATGACAGAGTTATCCTAGTTTATCTATAAAACAGCTAAATAGTAGCTAAAGAAATGCAGATATAAGCTTTAATTTCCAAAAGGAAGTGGAGGAAGCTTAAGTGTGCCCACTAAGGCTGAAACAGGCAGAAATTAGCTCAATAAAGTTGAAATTATCTGCAAAAAGCTGGAATTCGCTAAAAACAGCTAAATAGTAGCTAAAACAAGCAGAAAGAAGCTTCAATTACTAGTAGGATGTCGGTGGAACATGTTTTTGCTGAATTAGGTTGACAAAATTTAAATTATTGCGAAAAATGTGGAACTAACTGATAAAGATGAAATTAGAATGAAAACAGCTAAATGCTAGCTGAAATAGCATAAATAGCTGAAACATACAGAAATAAGCTGAAAGGCGCAGAACAAGTATAAATTAGCATAAATAAGTTTGAAGCACAAAAATGTTGATTTTAGCAGAATGAAGCTGAAAGGACCTCAAAACAGCAGAAAAAAAACAGCTGAAATTAGCTGAACTAGCTGAAATTTGTTTAAAATTTTGTGCAAGGAAGCTGAACGAACCATAACCAGGTCTAAATGTGAAAGTAGTAGTACCAGGTTATAAACTAATCAAAAGTTATGAAGGATGTAAAAGGAGCTCCATTCATTTTCAACGAGAGCAAATATGCCAGAAAAGGCTAAAGATCTCAAAAAGCTAAAGTTGCACCAATACCAAAAGTCATAGCAGACATGTCGTGAAACAGCTGAATGTTTTGATGTATGATTTGTGGAAATAGCACAAAAACTGTGGAGTAGTTAGATGCTGAAAAACGTACGGAAGAAACAGTGAGTCACTAAAGTGTGAATGCCCATAAAGACATTCACACAATAACAAAGAATATAAAAAAAATCCTAAATACATAAGAAAATATGTTGTAACCTTTGTGATCATGGACTTAACTTTCTATACTTACTCTCTGCTTGACCAAAACAGCTTCAAATATACCATTTCTCAACACATAGCCTGTAGAAAACTGTGGCATAGAAGAAAGGTTGTAAGCTCCATCATCCAGGTAGAAAACAACAAAAAAGGTAAAAACGATTGAACCTTTTTTGTTGCTTGGCGTAGATCAGGAGTGTCAACCCACTTACAAAACGGGACCAAAATTAAAACCTTTTTCAAACTAAGGGCCAATTTCAGAATCTACATTAACTCAAGTTAGATACCAACATCTTTTCTTTGTTGCAGGTTCCTCAAGAGTTTCACTGGTCTCATTTTCTCTGTTGCACTTTTGACATTATAATCAAAGATTACTGAAAAATTAATGATCAAAGTATTTTACACTTGAATAACATCTTGGGGGCCAGATAAGATGCCATCGAGGGCCACATTTGCCCCCCGGGCCTTGAGTTTGACACATACGGCATAGAAGGTGAGCAAATACCTTTCTTTAAAGAATGCTAGGCTTTTATATTTAAAGTGTTTTTTAATTATGTAAAACTAAAGTGTTTCACAGAAAATAGTAACAACAAGAAAGCACATATCTAATTTTAGACCATCGACAGCCATAACTGACCCAAACAAAATGGAAATTAAAAAAAGTGAAGCGTGAACTCGTTTGAAGGTTCATGTTTGGAAAAAGTACATAATCAGGTGAAAAGAAGGTGAAGGAAACTGCACGTAAGTGAAAATGAACAAGGTCACAGTGAGGAAGCGAGGAGTGTTCTGAAAAAGCAAAGTCATAAAGTCTACTTAAGCACAGTTAGAGATGGAAAAAGCAACACAGCGGTTCTCTCACGCAAAGCAAGAAGACAAAGACACACAGATAGCTTTGGTCTGTTTTTACAGCTTGACCCCCATAAAAGCAAGGCTGATGGAACAGGATCTTGTTTGGACAAGGACTGGGTTTACTGGAGCACAAACTACAAAAGAAGCACATCTGGCTGAGTGGGGTCAGTCAGAGCAAAGATTATTCATTGGAAAACTTTCTATTCTATTCTATTCTATTCTATTCTATTCTATTCTATTTGTTCTATTCTATTCAATTCTATTCTATTCTATTTTTTCTATTATATTCTATTTTTTCTATTCTATTCTATTATTTGCTATTCTATTCTATTCTATTTGTTCTATTCTATTATTTTCTATTCTATTCTATTCTATTCTATTCTATTCTATTTTTTCTATTCTATTCTATTTTTTCTTTTCTATTCTATTCTATTCTATTCTATTTTTGTATTCTATTCCATTCTATTCTATTCTATTCTATTCTATAATTTTCTATTCAACTCTATTCTATTCTATTCTATTATTTTCTATTCTATTCTCTTCTATTCTATTCTATTCTATTATTTTCTATTCTATTCTATTCTATTATTTTCTATTCTATTCTCTTCTATTCTATTCTATTATTTTCTATTCTATTCTATTCTATTATTTTGTATTCTATTCTATTATTTTCTATTCTATTTTATTATTTTCTATTTATTCTATTCTATTATTTTCTATTCTATTTTATTATTTTCAATTCTA